GCACTGGTTTACTCTGGTTTCAAGTTACATCCACAGGCTATTGACTGCAGCTAGACACTATCCAATCAATATCTGAGAGAGTGCACTACAGGAGTTGTGACATAACCACTGCAATTTCATTGATCCCTCTTGCATTTCAGAAAAGGTTAGAAAAATAATTGTCTTTGAGTGCAACAAGACTTCCATGGCTATGGTTAACATCCAATTTTCGGCCAGTGTGAACAATCTTCTGAGTGTCTTCAACTTGTTGTTAAAATGTAAAAAAATCCAATGTGTTTGTGGCAGGTTATAAATATATTTATATAAAGAAAACACAAGGTGGTTTCAGGTTGTATTTCTTTTTGTCTCTTTTGAAAATCACTATTTCCATCGCTCAACAACCAAGGTTTGAAATCAGGGTTCGTGCAGAGGGTCGTAAAATGTTCCGGAAACATCCCAGTTTGGAGGTTAGAAATTTCTTGTGGTGGTTATGGTGCCTGGGAGTTCTTTTAAAGTGACAAGCCTTCATTAAATTAACTCATAACCTGAGTGTTAGCCCTGTTGGGTGCACTTGGTCTTGTAAATTGGATTAAAATAATTTGTATTGCTGCCCTTACAGTCATGAATTACAAACCATGTTTAACAAAGCAGACATTATCTGCATCTTTTGGCTTTCTCCATGCCTAAACCATCCGGATGTCAGAAATATGATAACTTACGACTCGTCAGACAAGATTACTTTTTTACATTGCTCAGGGGTCCAGATTTTGTGCTTCTTTGACAGAGTTGTGGGTCGTTGTCCCCTGTCCTGCAAACCATATGGGATGATGTTAGCCATGCTGGTTGTGTGTGCCATGAATTTTAAATAATTCAGACAGTGTCACCAGCAAAGCACCCCCACACCATCACACCTTCTCTGCCTTGCTTTGAGATTGGAACTGCACATGTGGAGATTATCCATTAGCCCTGAATCATATACACAGTGGTTGAAACCAAAAATCTCAAATTTGGAATCATTAGCCTAGAGGAAAGACCTGTCCAATATCCATTTCTTTTGTGTGTTGGCTTCTTTTTGGTGTCCTTCAGTAGTGGTTTCTTTGCAATAATTCTATCATAAACACCTGATTCACTCAGTCTTCTTCAAACAATTGATGTTCAGATGTTCAGAGATCTGGGTCTGTTTGTGCTGCAATCTAAGGTTCAGTTAATTGCCTCTTTCTGAAGTTGGAGCAGAGGTAACTATGGGTCTTACTTTAATGTGTCAGTTCTCATGAGAGCCAGTTTTATCATAAGTTGCAGTTTTTGGAACAGCACTTAAAGAAACTTGCAATGTTCTCAAAATGTTCCAGATTCACTGAATGTCATAAAGTAATTATGGACTGTCGTTCCTCTTTGCTTATTTCAGCAGTTCTTGGCATAACATGGAGTACTACAGTACAAACGTTGAGAGCCTTCTGTATGCTAACTGATGAAACGCATTAAGGTGGAAAGACATTCCACAAATGTACTTAACTAACACATCTACTTAACAGGGCGCACCTGTTAATTGAAATCCACTCTACGCACCTACCTTATGAATCTAATTTAGCGAATGAAAGAAATGTTTAATCAAGGCAAAGGGCAAACTGAATAATCTACTATTTTAAATGTATATTGATCCGTTTTTTTTCTATACAACTTTTCAAAGGCACTGAAAGTAGGGAAAGAAGTCTATAGTAAGTGAAAAACGTCCAGTGGCCTACCAAATCCAAGTGTTTCTGTGTGTGATATAATTTCCCTGAATAATCTCATGGTCTAACTCTATACAATTATTTTTTTTAAAACATTAAAAACATATTTTAATGGATCGACTTAAATTCAAGTTTGGTTTGAAATAAAAAAACAACAGTTATGTACAGGCAGTAATGTAATACTTGTTTAAAACAAAAACGAAATGATTGCCTAGCAGATTATGCATATCCCCCATACTCATAAAAGGAGCCAGAGGTCGCTTCCAACCAACTTGATGTAATAATGCTCCCTCATGCCCCTAGTGGCTGGTATTGGAGTTTTATTAAATATCTTTAAGTACTGGGGATGTACGTGAAGTATTGCTTTTAATCTTGGTGCTAAACCTTCCCTATATGGTCTTAGCAAACAAAATTAATATGCACATGTTGACCAGGTTACCTTCCAATTTAACCAATTCAAAGTGTAATACCTCATCTTTTTATCAACGAGGCTGCATAGCTGACAAACTTGCCTGAGGGTCGCCTAATATTTCCCTGAATTTGCACGCTACATGGATGATTCTCTATCACGTATAGCGTAGTGGTAATCAGCTTGGTAATTGAGCCTAGCCGCAGGGCAGTGTACCATAAAAATAATGTAATGCTGACCATCAAACTCTGTCCGAGTTTGACATGTTACTTTGTCTCTCATTCTGTGTCATAGTGATGTTCCTCAATAGCGTGTCAATGTGTAGAGCACCGTGAAATAATACGTCAATACGACACTCCGTGTCAGCGGAACGCCTGTAAATAATGTGAAAACCGTGCTTGTCAGTAGGCATCAGTAAACACGATTTGAAAAAGGCAGATGCTGCATATGAAGTACATGTGTTGGGATTCCAGATTTGTATTTCTGTTTAAGAACATTTCTTAACCCTTTAGAGCCCAATAGAATTCTAGAATGCTGCTGTGTAATTCTGCAAACGAATCACATTTTCATACACATCTCAAACAACCAGACAGCTGACACACCATAAATATATTACAATTAGAACTTTATTGTGTTTTAAAGAGCACAACACTTCTTTAATTTGACGGCACATTCATGTATCATGGAGTAATGCTACTGGATTATCCCCCATGTATAGTCATTCCCGAACAAAAATTATATTTTGTCAAATCCGATAGTTAGCTAGATATGCTGTAAGCAGCTTGTCACGACTTGAGGTGTTATGGGGGATGGGAATCACTCTTAAGACATAAATACCTTCAAGGGTTTTATAACTAGACAACAAACGGAAAAGAATAGAACTTTGTTTAATACATAAATAAATTGATAGAAGAATAAAACAATCAACAACAAGTAGCTACATATACACACTATTTTTGTCCTAACATATTTTTACTGCCAAAAACTGCATTCTGTTAATACAAAAGATGAATGGCTTACATCTGATTCACAGGATTTTGTTCCACGCAGTAATTCTCTCATGGCGCAGCTAAACAAACACTCAAGGAACAATGACCAGATGTCAATTTCTCAGATTAACAGAGCAATGCCAAAAAGGGTCACATAGTTCTATAATACATTTTCTACTTTGTTGTTTAAATCAAACACATAAGCATACATTGGTTATACAGTATATAAAATGAAATATAATGGAGTAAACATTTGCCCCGAGACACAAAAATACAAAAATACTGGTTCAGTGATGTGTGGCAAGGCCTCCAGATCGGTCTGCCATTGAAACATGCCCAGCCAAGGTGACACGGCACCACACTAATTTATATCCAGGCTGCAGAACAGGATGTGTGGTTGGTCAGGGCCGAGCAAACCTCCGATTCAAGACCCATAACTGCTGTTCCTGGGCGTGCTACACATTGGCTGGCTGCGTGCAGACGGCACTCTACGGCTGAGCACGGGTATGTTGTCTGTTCTATATTTGATAACACCGTGGTTAATTAATAGGCTTCTATTAATAACAATAGGTGCTGTTTAAAATCTCTTTTCTACCAGCTCTTTTCCTGTGGAGTTGAACAGCCTGGTGGCTATTTGCACTTTCATTTTTGATTAGGGCAATAGGCCTCAAAGAACTGGTGGCTACCATTAGTTTTCTTGGTCATTTGATTTAATTCTAACGCACATTTGCATGCATTTTTTAAGACTTGTGATAAACCTGGTTACGTCACGGTGGTAGAACAGTTGTTATTGCTTTTTCTTGTCTATTCTGAATTGAAAATAGCCCCGAGGCTCTGGCTGAAGCTGTGATTTAGCAATGAATCTCAGTTGTCAGACTCGCCCGATTTAAGCCAATGGTGTGTGTGCAAGTTGAAGAGTCCGGGTCATTGGTTTATGGACACAGTCGATTTATTCGTAATACAAAAGGGATGGAATTTTAAGATATCTAGATATGACTTTAGCCTCCCCATTTTCACTCCACGATTGCCCCAGCATAAATCTCAGAGCTTGGTAAACAAAAAAACATTATCTCGGTCTAAATAATAAATGGCCAGTTTGGTTTTGTCTCTGGGGAGAACACATCTAGTACACACACACACATACGTGCACACATATTCCTTCTTCTTAGGAAAAAACTCTTGCCGGTGGTAAATGTCAGTGATTCCGTTCAGGTGACTGGTTTCACTTGACCTTTTGCAACCCATTGAGAAACCAGGAAAACTCAAGTGATCTGGGGCATTTCTGAATGAGCACGAGGAACGTTTCCTTATCCTATTTGCAAAATATATTCTCAGGGGGTAGGGGCATGCATGCGGTCGAATACCAAGTTCTTCTATGACAACTAGAGTATTTCGTCAGAGCCGAGTGGATTACGTGCGTAATGCTCACCTTGGTGATGATTCGGTTGCTTTCATTAAAAAAAAGAAACACACAAGTGTGATGGTCACGTACACAGATTAGAAGGACAAACAGCAAGTTCATAATGAAACGCACTCATTTTGAAGATTAGAAGAAGAACAACTTATTGTCAAAATATGCACATATACATGTAAAACAACCCACTGTACTAATGTGGTTTTATACACATTTCCATAAAACGACTGTTCTATCATTAAAATATGCCACTAAAGTTCCTCCACACCTCGCCGAACTATGTCTATAGACTACGCTTTGTGCATAGATCTGAAAAAGCCTTCCCCAAACTGGTGCCACAAAATTGTCTTGCAAAATTGACACCCAATTGTCTTTGTATCTTGTAGGATTCAAAGAGGTTAATGTCATTTAATTTAGTCTCGTGGTTTGGATGAGATTATTGGCGTTAGAGCCTCACAATAAAATCTCATCCCCTCACAGGCAATGTGGCTTAGTTGGTTAGAGTGCATCTCTCGTAAACAAGATATCCTGAGTTGTAATCTCTGTGGTGCCTTTTAATTAAGATGCATGTCCTGCAATAAAAGCTCTAATATAGCAACGGCTTAGTTGGATAGCGTGCCAGTCAGAGATTCTGAGTTCAAAACACTTTACTGCCTTTCTAAAAAAGGTAAGGTTTATAATATTTTCCCCCTCAAAGATTTATTTTAATTGAATTGTTGACATTATAGGTCACATTAAAGGTGTAATACGTCTATTTGTCTTTGTCTGATTTTTTCACATGACAACCTGGGTGTGTAGACTTTTCATACCCACTGGAGCTCTATGTTTATTTTGTGCCCTGCAAGTGTTAGAAAAGCTTTCCATATTGGTGCTGTCGCTTAGTATGTAGAGTACCTCTCTTGTATATTTGTATTTTATTTTACCTTTATTTTACCAGGTAGGACGATTGAGAACAAATTCTCATTTACAACGACGACCTGGCCAAGATAAGGCAAGAAAATGTGCAAGACAACATAGAGTTACGTAATACGTACACAGGACACAGGAGTGCAATTTACAAAGGTATATGTGGTTCTGTTGAGCAGCATAGATAAGGCACTAGCGAATATATTTGAATGCATTTTACTGGATATTCAAGGATTAAAGTGTGTCTAGCAGGTAGATCATTTGAGTGCATGGATTATATGACCGCGTTTATGGGAAAGAGCATTTGAGAAAAATCTGAGCAAATAAGAGTAATACAAGAAAGTGAACAGGTATGACACTAGTGCAGGTCAGAGATGTCCACTGTGCAAGGTGGGCATAGCATAAGGGAGAGAAGTTGAAGACAGTTAGCAGGTACATCGGACAGGTGTTCAGAAAGGAGTAGTTTAAAGGCAACTGGAGTTATGTAAACTGGAGATCCTGAGTTCAGATCTCTCTAGTGCCATTTAGAAGAGGTTCATGACCCTCAATTTTTTCTCCGGGTAGGGATTTGACACCTCTGGCATTTCTGACACGCAGTATACCTGTCTTGTAAAATGGAGTTCCAGTGTTCATATCTCAGCATTGCCTTCCTATAAGAAGTTCCTATTCTATGGGTACTGTGACTTAGTTGGTTACTGTGTCTCTCCTGAGTTCAAATTGATATTATAAAGATTATTAATCTTCTTCAATTTAGTCTCCTGGTTTGGATTTGACACATTTGGTTTATGAGCCCCATAATAAAGCTTGACCAGGACGAGTACTGTGGTGTGTTTCTTAGAGTGCCTCTCTTTTAAACAGGAGAAGCTGAGTTGAAACTGTGTCATTTTGAGGTGACTAGTGGAACTAGTCATCCACTTTTCGTTAATTTTGTGTTGCGCTCATCTTTTCCTTTAGGTTAGTTTAGGTAATTATGCACACCTGGGTTGAGTTGGTTTAATTACGAGGTGTGTGTAAGTCACTGGGTGTGGTTGCACTGAGCTGAGCAATGTATCTATGTCATGCTGATCTTTAGGTGAAGGGTAGTTATTGGTTTGTCTGCACTGTTTAGAATTTTTTATGGTAAAACGCTTGTTAGCAAGACGCTTGATAGCGCACTTTGATTAATTCAGTGTATGTTTTCCGTTCAGTGTTTTTGTATTTAGTTTTCCTAGTTGTTGTATGAGAATAAAATACCACAAACGTGTTTATGCCTCAGCGTTTGGCTCTCGACCTCACTTTACCATTGACTCGTGACACATTTAAATTTGGTTGCTGTGTTGGAACTTGCATGGTCTTGGCTTATCAATGCAGCTCAACGGAACTACATATACCTCATCCTTTATAACTTGACCCTGTATTGCCTTGTTGTCTCCCATTGCTATTTGCACTCTTGTGTTCTGTGTATTGATTGTATTACAGTATGTTGTGCTGCACATTTTTTCGCCTTTTCTTGGCCAGGTCGCCGTTGCAAATGAGAATTTGTTCTCAATCGGCCCACCGGGTTAAATAAAGGTTAAATAAAAAAACAAATAAAAATGGTTTTATTTGTATGGTTGGTTACCCAGCTGCTCTTGTAACCAGTCGATGCTGAGTTCAAATCTCAGTAGTGCCATTAAAAAGTGGTTCACATCCTAGAATTGAATCACCTGGATTATCTTTTGAGCCCCTGATGAAATTATCAATTGCTTAGTTAAACTTTCTGTTGGTTGCCCTGCTACTCTTGTAACCAGTAGACTCTGAGTTCAAATCTCAGAAGAGCCATTTAAAAAAGGTGTATGTCCTTTAATTTACTCTCCTTGCAATTGAAACATTTGTTTTTTGAGTTCTGCAAGTTCTTTACCTAAACACATCTTAGTTGGTAACGTAACGTATCTTACAAATTCATATTTGAAAGATTTACACAAAATAAGTTACATGTTCAGGCCAGTGCCTTTGTATTTTCAAAGAGTCTCCTGTGCTCTGCTTAGTTCCAGGTGTTTCTATTGTTTGTTTACACCAACCAGGGAAGTAATATAAAAAGGTAATCAAAATAGAATAAAATAACATATGAAATGAAAAAACACGATCGAAATTTCATTAAAAACGTACTTATTTCAGCCTTTCTATATTCACTCATGGAAATGAAATGGGTCCTATTTATTCAAATCAGACCTATTACCTCACTGGCAAATTTCCTCTCCCAGCCCCTCGCAGCCTGTATTAGTGAATGTGTGCTGACAGCAGAGGTTACCTTGAGCCGTCTACCGGACCCGGGGGCTGTATGTCTTCATTTACCCCAGTATCTGTAGATGCCAGGCAAAAGGGAAAGTTATTTTCTGTGTCTGGCCCACAGGGGGAACTGAGGCTAATGATCTTGGCCATGTTTATTGTTACCGGGCTCCTGGAATAGCAGATCCTTCAGAGGCGATGCCTGCGTGGAGATTGAAGGCAATTCTGTGATTTCTCCGCACCTGTGTGTGCCGCCAATTAATGTTCTGTCTGTTCTACTGAAATACTCAGGTCGTGCTTTACACGAAGGTAATGCTGACACATTTGTGTGATACGGCCCCAGTGCTGTACCAATAAGTCATTTTAGTTTTAAGAGTGAGGCCATTCTGAAGAAAATCACAGCATGATGACCGTTTTACCAAATTGTTCCATTTTGCGCTGTCCATTTCAGATTTACGCCTGTGTCGTTGCAAATTCCAACAGGCTCACCGTTCATATATGAACATCTGCATCCACTGGAGCATGTTCCTCCGAACTGTGCCTCTTCTAATCACACTGGTAACTTCTCTCATTCTCTACCGTTATTCCATAAAGTTTGATATTTTTTCTGGGTATTTTTTTCCTCTCGTTCCTTGGAGTTCCTCTGCTTATCCGGGTTTCCGCAGCAGCCACAGGTGCATTTAGGATATGAGGACTGCCAAGGGGACTGAATGGAGTCCTTCATAGGGCTTTTGAATGGCTCCCTGTTCATGGCGCCTTTGGAAACCCCTATCATGGCTGTTATGATCTAGAGCCATTGCATTTGCCTGCCATAGCGGGCTACACGATCCGGCGTACATCCCAAATTCAGGTGCAAACAAGGAATATATGTAAACTGCACCTCATGCACAATGACGGAATACAACGTAGTGGGGAAAACATGAGCACATTCTCATTGTTAGCTACTACACCAGGGTGGCCTGCATGAGCACCATTTTCCACACGTGGAACATATAGCTACTGCATATTCTAAATACAATACAATATCATTTGTCAATTTGCTTCGTTAACAACCAGATGGCGAGATGACTGGAAAGCCTTAATTACAGGCCCTGTAATTGCTAGTAATAGTGGCAGATTGGTAATGAACAGTATCAGCGTCTGTGTGTCCGTGTCTGTGTACGTACAGCGTTGCTTCAAAGTATTCCAACACCCAGTGTTATTATAGAATTTTTTAAGCGTTCACCAATGAACATTATCCGTTCGAAACTATTTTTTATCCGTTATTTCGTTTTCAATTCGATATGTTGCTTTAGAGGAAATCATGTGTGCTGGAGGAAACATTCTTTACAGAAAATGGTGAACCCTAGGTTGCATTCGTTAAATCAACTAGGTAAGTACAATGAGAAGGTTTGTGTCACAATGTCAAAGCTATAAGATATTAAATAGAACACGTTTATTACCTTGAATGATTTGTCAACTCCAATTCACTTCTTGTAGGAGTGCACCCAATTACAATGTGCGGGCTATTTAGCTAAATAGGCGTTTATACCATCTTGGTTTGAGCTACTATGTTGTCCTGTTAACATTGTCAGCTGGTACATGTTGAATGTGTTTCTTTTGCTAGCCAATTAATGGCACTGCACCAAAAAAGCAGACATGTGATTCACTACCAATCATGTTTAGAAAATGTTATTTTGGTTGGGAAACCACATCAGTCAAGTGTGTGCAGCTGGATTTTGAGATGGTGCAGGTGAATTACGAGAATATGCCGACAAGTTCCAGATGACACTCTGTGATCTTGCAATCTGTGTGTATTCTCACACAACGGTTTGTATGCTATCTCGATCTTCTCGAGCCTACTCTGCAGCTCAATAATTATTTTTAAAAAAAGTGAGTTTTTGCGGTCTTAACTACAGTTTTTGTTATCGAAGTGGCATCTGCATACTCGGATGATATATACTGATTTGATGACTAAGCTTACACCCCTGCTAGTGACACACTGGATGACTCGTCTCATAACCATGGATATATTCACTGTGCAGGTGGGGTGTGGGACCATAAAATATACAGTGAAGGAAGAAAGTATTTGACCCCCTGCTGATTTTGTACGTTTACCCGCTGACAAAGACATGATCAGGCTATCATTTTAATGGCAGGTTTATTTGAACAGTGACAGACAGAATAACAACACAATATCTGGAATAAAGCATTTCAAATACGTAATAAATTGATTTGCATTTTACTCAGTGAAATGGGTATTTGACCCCTTTGCAAAACATGACTTAGTACATGGTGGCAAATCCCTTGATGGCAATCACAGAGGTCAGCAGTTAACACCTGTTTAAATAGACAGACACTTCTCAGGCAACAAATCGTTCTGGGTGCAAATTTTACAAAAAAATGTTTGATGATCATTTG